TTCCAAGTTTTTGTTCGTTCTGAGCCTTTGCTTTCCTGACTTCATGTTTACATGTTCTGGTAGTCTGTCTGCTAATAATCAGCCTTAGTTATGTGCCCCTCTTTCAATTTTTTATATTTGTCCTTTGTCTTTCAGTGTGTCAGAGAGGTCCTTGTGCAACCATGCTGGTTTCTTCTTGAATTTCTTGTTTTTCTTTCTCAGTAGTATTATACTGGTCTGAGCTTTTATGATTGGATTTTTCAGGGTTTCCCACACTTCTTGGGTTAATTTCCCCTTTAGGATTTTCATCCACAGGATTTTTCCTAGGTTCTCTCTGAGTTTGTTAAAGTTAGCTCTTTTGAAGTTTAAGACACCGGTTGGATTTTCTTATTGCTAGTGTTTGCATTATATTAAATTCCAGTATGATGTGGTCACTTTCACCCAAAGCAGTCAGTAGACTAAGACTAAACATTACACTGATCTTCAAATCACTCTGTTAACCATTTGTTGTTATATTTAGTGCATAGAAAGTCCACAAACAGTTTCCATTTTCTTATAAAGCTGTCTAGTTCATTATGTTTTTGTTAGTTGCGAAGTTGTGTCTGACCCATCGCGACCCCATGGACAACATTCCTCAATGCCTTCTTGTCCTCTACTATCTAATGGAGTCCATTTAAGCTCACCCCTACTGCTTCAGTGACTTCATCCAGCCACCTCATTCTCTGTCGTCCCATTCTTCTATTGCCCTCAATCTTTCCCAGCATTAGGCTCTTCTCCAGTGAGTCCTTCCTTCTCATTAGGTGGCCAAAGTACTTGAGTTTCAGCTTCCGGATCTGGCTGTCTAAAGAGTAGTCAGGGTTGATCTCCTCTAAGACTGACCGGTTTGATTGCCTTGCAGTCCAGGGGACTCGCAAGAGTCTTCTCCAGCATCATAGTTCAAAGGCCTCAATTCTTTTGCGCTCAGCCTTTCTTATGGTCCGACTTTCACAGCCATACATTGCAAATGGGAAAACCATGGCCTTGATTATACGTACTTTAATTGGCAGGGTGATGTCTCTGCTTTTTAGTATGCTGTCTAGATTTGCCATAGCTTTCCTCCCCAGGAGCAAGCATCTTCTAATTTCTTGGTTGCAGTCCCCATCTGTGGTGATCTTCAAGCCCAGGAAGATAAAGCCCATTATCTCTAATAAAAGCAATTAATTTTGTCATCTCTGCTAATTCAGTCAATGTCAATGTCTTCAACAGTTTGCATCCCTTTTTCTTTCCAATGTTTGGCAAGTACAATCCTTGCAGCCGTCACTATGTGAAGGAATAGCACCCAAATTATTTTTCAATTGGCTTGCCTATCTTATATATGATTAAAAAAGAAAAAGCAGTGTGTGTTTGTGTGTATACACACAGACACATTTTTTGTTAGTGCTGAATGTATGCTTTTATTTTATTGTTTGTTTTTCTGTTTTGTATTTTACTTTTTATGGTAAAACATAATAATAACAATCATAATAATAATAAAAATAAAAACAGCACGGGAGGATGGATCCATTGCTTATCATCTGCCGCTGTTCTTCTTTTGTGCTTCTACATTTCTTGGTAAGGTGTTGAGAATTTTTTTTCAAGTTGTCTAATTTTGGCAGGGTTGGGGTTTATTGAGATGTAGGTTTCTTTTTCCTCTAACAATTCTTAGGCTATCAGATTTTATACTACATCTTATAATAAAGTTAAACTGTATTTCTAGTGAATTCTGGAACATAGTTGGAAAAGAAGTAAATCATAATTAAATATATTGGTTATTTTAATTCTTGCTTTGTATAGAATATATTTTGTTCTGTTGTTTTTTAATAAAACTTTTTCATAGCATGGTTAAATCTTTGGAGGGTATGTTTACTCTGTAAATAAGTAAAAGTGAACTGAGGGATGCACAGTACTCTGATTGCTCACCCATGATCAAGCTTACTAATGTGAACAGCCTTACACACATTATAATTTCATAAGGTTTTCTGACAACTTACACAATAAAACATTTATGAAGGAGCGTAAACACAGTAGCTCCAATCCTTGCATGAAGAAGGCTCCATTTATGTAATCTGACCTTTACATAATTCTGAATTCTGAGAAAGTTACAAATATGTGGACCCATAGAACTCATCTTAATTGGTAAAGGTCAATTTCATGGAAGAATAATCCACCTAAATAGAATAGATGTGCTAGAGTTATATTTAAGAGCACAACCAGAAATTTTCCCATGGAAGAGTAGTATTGTCTGTCTCTGTGTCTCTCTCTCTCACACACACAGACACAGTGCTAGAACTGGATGCAAGTGCATTTATACCTGATTAAGTTGAAAGAAGGCACATAAGATAAATTCAATAAAGCAGAGGGGAATTTTAAAGGAATATAGATGAGATTCCAAGGACAATGTTTTGTTCTAAAGTGAACACACATAGCTTACTTTCAGCCTCAAATAATACATTCTTATAATAATCTTTCATTCCTTATAATTCCAGACCTAATTAGCCAAATGTTAATGTCTGGAATTACAGCTAGATGGAGTAATGAAGCTTTATTCCAAATGGGGCCTTCATTAATATTTTGCTCCCATTTCAGTTTTGTAGTGCCTTTTTGAGCTAGCTGTCACCAAAGTAATACAAGGAAGAATGTTCCTTTGGGGCAGGCATGCTAACAGGATCTCCAAGCAAGAGGCTATGCTTGCTGATGAGAGATCTTCTATAGCACAGCTTTGTCTGGATTTCTGTCACATCTATTAACTGCATTCATGTTTTGAAAGATTGGATGGAGTATGGCCACACTTCTTTTTCATTTAGACTAGACAATGGCAACTAGCCCACTCACAAAAACCAACCCACGTATTCCATAATTCAACCATGTACAGGAATGAATTATTTTTCAATTTATAACATGTGACAGGGTCAGCTAATAGTAAGATTTCAATACAAATTAGTAGCAAAGCTTTGAAATGGATTGTATACCTCTCAGCCACCTACTTTCATTGTACCATAAATGTCCATCTACTACATTTGTCTTTTCACTTCTAGACAGTTGACAGGCAGAACTTCACTTTTTTGATGCAGGCTTGTCTATTTAAGTCTACATATGAAAGGAAGGTTTGATTTAAATTAAAAGTCTGCAGAGACATGGTGTAATTCTATACTTTGCCTACAAGGAAATTCAAGTGTGGCTCTCTTGAGAATTTTTTGCATCAGCATTCAGTTGACAAATGATGATTTACAACATACTTTCAAATCAGATGTGAAGCAAACCATCTTCAAAGCTTCCATTAAAATATGTTTAAAATCAATAGTCTGACTAGTTCTGGGATTAGTAAATGACCTAAGTTTAATAGTCAGAAGCTAGTCCAGTAAATTTAAATGGGGGAAGCAAACTACAAACATTTTAAAACAAGGTAATATTCAGACAACATGGTAGCTCAAATGATTGCAGCATTTCCAAAGATAACTCTATCTTCCTCAAAAAAAAAATCTCAATAATATATTTTTGTCAATATATTTAGAATTGCTCTTCTAAACAGGTCTGAACATTCTGAGCACTTATTCAACAATAGATCTCAAGTTGTCAGTAACATATGTGGAAGATTGGGTTATAAGAGTTGAGCTGCCTGTTAGGAGGAAATAAAATAGAGCTGGAAGGGGCCTTGGAGGTCTTCTAGTCCAGCCCCTTGCTCAAACAGGAGGATCTATACCATCTCAGACAAGTGACTGTCTAGCCTCTTCTTAAAAATCTCCAGTGATGGAGCGCCCACAATTTATAGAGTCAAGCTGTTCCACTGGTTAATTGTCTTCACTATCAGGAAGTTTCTCCTTAATTCCTGTTTGCTTCTCTCTTTGATCAGTTTCCAACCATTGTTTCTTGTCCTGCCCTCTGGTGCTTTGGTGAATAACGTGACCCCCTCTTCTTGGTGGCCCCTCAATTACAGGAATACTGCTATCATGTCTCCCCTATTTCTTTTTTTCTTTAGACTAGCCAAACCCAAGTCCTGCAGCCATTCTTCATATGTTTTAATCTCCAGGCGTTTGATCATCTTAGTTGCTCTTCTTTGAATTTTTTCCAGACTCGCAACATCTTTTTTGTTATAAGGTGACCAAAATTGGCTGCAGTATTCCAGGTATGGTCTTACTAGGGTTTTATAAAGCTATATTAATACTTTGCATATTCTTGATTCTATGCCTCTGTTTATACAACCTAAGATTATACAACCCAGGGAAGTTATTTAGTAAATCTTTTCCAGTCTAGTTCATTGTAGATGTGTTGGAACTAAACTCCCAGAAAACACAGCTGACATGAGAAATATGAAGAGTCTCAGGTTGGGGAAGGACAGTTTAGGATTTCTAATATAAGGTGTTGTGTTGCAAATTTCCTTAAGGTAAAAACAGTTATGGAATGAGCATAGTAATGTGTCTATAATGCTATGCAATCAAGAAACAGTGAAAAATAATTTTTTACAAGTCAGACTCTCAGGGAAATTTTGGAATCTCTCATTTTACAAATTTTTGTAGGTTTTACAAATGTGCAGGTTGAACATAATTGTTCAACTGTTCTGGATCTTGTTGTCTTTTTTCTTTTTGAAAATGCATTTGAACTGCAAAATATTTGGCAAGCAATTTTCCCTTCCCAGGTCCACCATCTCTCCTTCAAAAAATGTTACTGTGAAATTACCCCTCCATGTTAGACTATAAATAATAGAATGGCCATCACAAAAATCAGGTACAGCTTTTAAATATTCGTTCTAAGAGTGGAGCTTATCTTTCAGTGACTGGTAAGTTTTGGATTAGTTGTAACAGTAGTCTTTTCCCTCCAAATGGTATACAAATCTTGCTTATTCAGATTCATTTAAAAGATTTGAAATAATATGAAGAGTAACCATTTATTTATTGAGAAAGTTCATTTTAAATGATCTACTCAGTTATGTAGTTCTTGAATGGAGGAATGCAAAGAAAATGAAGTTTCAAAAAATGAAATGACAAAAACGACAGTTTCTATGTCTGTTTTTTTGACAATGGATTTTTTTTATATTTATATCATTGCATTCTTAATCAGAACAGATTAGTGAGAAACCAAATGAGAATAAGTCATTTTATTTTCTTTGGTTTGTTTGGTTGTCTGCCAAACACAATAATCAAATACAGATATGCAATACTATCAAAGGGGTAAGGTTTTTTTTCATAAACTAAGATTTATAATCTAGATCCAAAAGGACAAAGAAGTTATCCAGCATGTGTTATCCCTCAGCAATAAGTCTGTTTCAAATAGAAAAGTGTGAACTGAACAGATTGTAAAGAAAATTTTCCACATAGCACAGAATTGCTGGATGCAACATACAAATATAATAAAATGGGGAAGTTATGTTATCCTATTTAAGTGCAGTGCACTTAAACAGCGCCCATAATCTGGATCCACAAATTTTAGTGATTCCAGAGAAACAAATATAGGATGTCAGTGTTGCACTTTGGATGAAATAAATCATAAAAATTTTCCCTATGGAAGGAAACAATAACTGTAAAAATGTTGTGCATAATACATCTAGAAACTGAGTATTTCTAGATTCTATAGAATGAGGTTGGCAATTTAAGCACATGGGACTTTAAAACTGCTGTACAGTTGTGGGAGCAAACAAAATGGTTTAGAACTCCGAACTTGTTTCCTGGAGAAAGGGTTCTGTAACTTGAGTATCTGGCCTTTCCTGCTTCTCTCATTTATTATATCCAACAGATTGGTCCTATTGTGATAATGTATTTTTCAGCTGCAGAAAAAACTGTGTTGTTAGTACAGTCATGCACAGGAAAAAACAACAGGACTAGATATTACAGAATGCTTTTCAGCTTTGCAACAAACAAGAGAAAAATCACAGACAACACCAAGAACATGCAAACACATAAAAGACCTGAAGAGACAACTGTGAAAGCCAAACAAGAAACATCCCAACAAACTGAAATTTGTTCTTTGCCATTGTTAAAGGTATCTCTTATAAGGAAACATCAAGATATGGAATTCTCTCATTCATGTGCTAATGACAAACACAATCTTTTGAAGGACAGCCAAGAAAGTTTTCTTGGATCTTGCTGTTTGGACTCCAACACTGGTTCAATATAGTTTAGGCACTCGGCATTCATGTTGCCTCTGGCACCACCTCCAACTCCCATTTAGCTGCTCTGCTTCTCTTTGTTTTCTTTCATTTGGGGACTAAGTTCAAATGCTGGGAAGTGAGACTTTTCTGGAACCAAGATGTCAGAAAGGAAGTGGATAGCTCCTGCCATACCTGAAAAAAATAATTTCAAAAGAAATGTGGCATCTTCATTCATAATTTTAACCAGGGGCATGGTGGCAGATATTTTGGGGAGAAACTGGACTAGCTTTAAGTCAATACTTCCTCATTAAGATGTATAGCTGTCAAGCAAGCCTACCTAAGACTAACATTTTTCTTTTAATAAAGAGGTCACAACTTGGAGAAATTCCCATCCTGGAAACAGTATCTACTAATATCTTACTTTTCTCTTAAAAAAATTATAGTGCTGAAATTTGGCGATATGTTCTTGGAAGAGTCTAATGAATATTAAAAAATCAACTCATAACATGCCCATTATAATCTTATGCTGATTAAGAATTACATAGGAGTCCCTGCAAAAGCCCTTCTTGGAATAAATCATTTAATAAGTAAGTAAATAAATAAATGCTCTAGAGGAAGAGGATTTTCTGAACCCTTTTCTGTCAGTATTCAGTCCTAGGGCTGGAATAGCACTGGTTGTTCTGGTGTATGATGTATGCCAAAATCTGAATGGAGAGAAAGAGCTCCCTCAGCGTTGCCCTAGTCCTTTCATATGGAGCCTTTGAAAATAACATGATTTGCTTAGGGCTTATTAATTTCAATGAGTTGCTGTATGAAGGAGAAATGGAATATAGGTAAGTATATTATCACTCATTTCAATGATTTTCTACTCATCCAGATCTATGAAGTTGTAAAATGTCCTTCAAATCCAAAGACATGTTTCAATCTGCTGCTTTCCAGAAATTTTGCATTAAAGCTTGATAACTTTCCAGCCACGTCATAGAAATGCTTGGAAATTCTAGGAGTTACACACCAAACCCAACTGGAATGCCACTCTTTGTTTAAGCATTCTGATATCCCATATCTACATTTCATATGTATTTTGTAATATAAAACCAATGTTAGATAAATCTCACTGAGAACAAAAGCTATAAGGAACGAACATTTATTTATAAACATATATTGTACCAAAATATCCATCCTGCCTTAACTACAAAAACTCTTAAAAATGGGAAAAAGCTGGAAGTTAGCAAGAAGTGCCTTAGAGGTGTGTGAAATAATTTGAATTTTAAAAGTAGGATTAGCAACATAATGTTTCTGTTGAAATCAGATAGACACATCACATTTGTAAACTTATTCGGAGCTTGATAGATACAAGTATTTTGGTTACAGTCCACTCAGTTTATCAGAAATTCATATACATCCAAACCTGGCTTTATAGTCCTGTGATGCAAATTTATGATTACTAAATACAGAATTCAAGAAAACAAGCTCTTGCCTTCAAACAATGAGTAGGGTCGGTCAGGAATACGGCATCCGTGTGCACCATAATCTAGACACCATTCAGCAAACTGAGGAAATATGACAAATAAACAATAATCTGAATAAATATGTAACTTGCACATTACAGATTACATAATGATTTTAATCTCTATTAGTATTACCTCTAAAGAGAAAATGACCAGGAGTTTTTATAATGAGCTCTAGTGAACAACAAATGGCCCACAGGTCATAATTCAGAAATTCAACTGCTAAATACCAGAGGGGCCACCTCTAGCCTCGACCACCATTCAGGTAAATTCAAATTGATATTAAGAATAAATTATTATTATCAACAACATGAGCATGCAAATGTTGCATATCTTGCTCCTTAATTCCAACATACCTCCACTAAAATGAATAAATAAATAAAATAAAGACCTAATATAGTTTTCCTCATTGAAACTTTTCAATAGGAAAGAAAATCAGCTGTGATTCCCCATAGCTTCTATTATCAATTGCTAACTAAATTCTGTGGCAGACTCTTGCATTTAAACAAACAAATCCAACCAAATTAGCAGCAACTTTAAGTCTGCAAATACAGTTTCTGACCACAAACAGTTCAATAATCTAGCTAGCAGTCACAAAATAGAGACTGAATACTTGGGGTAGGGTGGGGGGGGGGGAGAAAAATAGGGAAAACCATGGATGCAGTTGGGAAATGAAATAGAACACTTTGGAAGGGATCATGGCTGGTTGGCTAGATACCTAAACCTGATCCCAAGCAGTCTACACTGCAGCTCTGAATACAGGCTTTTCTATTGGTTTCAGCAATAATAATAAATACAGATTCTGGGCATACATCTGCCTTCCTTACTATCCCTTTGGGTGGCAATCATTTTAGCAGAGGGCAGTCAAATTCATTCTTCATTTAATACAACCAGAAAACCTAAAAGAAAATTGTGATTACTACATTCAATGTAATCTTGATTTATGAAGCCCCTTTCTGTTAGAAAACCAAGTGGTACTTTTATGTGGTGATCTTTTTTTCTGACTATGGAAATATAGAAGTAGCTTATTCTTCCTGTTTGGTTTAACTAAGGAAGAATAAATCTTTCAGGAACACATCAATAAGAACGGGTTTAGCGTTTCTCTGCACGCAGACGAAAAGAGTACCTTGCAAGCTCGGTAAAGATACTTTTTATCTTGAGTAAGATGATAGAGGGACAGGAAAGAGTATCCATTTCCAGCAGTCCCATGACAGATTCCGTATCCTTTCCTCAATAACCCCCTTTGCCAAATGACATCACTACATTCCATAGCATCCTTCAAATATTTATCTTCCTTGAAAACCTGTGGATATCAAGAAGCATAAAATCAGATGCCATTCTTTGCCAAATGTCAGCACAAGGCAAGAAATGGTTTTGTAACTACAGGTACTCCTCTACTTGCTACTGTAATTGAGCATGCAATTATGGTTATTAGCCATGAAGCTTTTTAAATGAGTCACCACATGACCATTCCTGATTTTGCAACCTTTTTTGCTGTTGTCATTAAGTGAACACCATGGTAGTTAAGCAAATTCATTGTTCAGTATGGAACATTTTTTTGCCAGAAGCTGGATGTAAACACTGTTTTATGGCAAAAAACATAATTAATTGTGATTATGTGACCACACAATGCTGCAAACAGAGATAACTGTAGACACTGCTGAATGCCCAAGATGTCACGTAAGTGCATAGGGAGGGAGGTGATCATTGGAACTTTGGTTCTGGGTTTTAAGTAAATTTTTTGGGGGTCTATTGTAGGAATGTTTGCCAAGTGACCAGTCATAAATCAAAAACTATCCATGCACAGATTTAAACCAGAAATCTCAAGAGACTATTTGCACACTCTGTAGAGGGACAAAGCATGAAATGGGCAAGGGGATATTCTTTTATGTAGGAAAGAGAGTCCCTTGTGGAAAGAGTGTCTACATTTAGAGATTACACATCCCTGCAGAATTGCTCATCCACATTCCACTAACTGGATGAATTAGTGTTTCAAACTGCTTGCAAGAGCTCTGTCCAGTACTATTACCCCCATAGCTACCTGGGCAGATGAAGTACTGAAGCTGACAAATCTTCTAAAAATCAACTTCTTCAATGAGGTGAATTTTCAGCTAAGGACTTCAAAGTTCAAATGTAATTTATCTGTTGTTTTCTTTCTCAACCCACTATCTAAGTCCATACTGGAAGCTTCTCAAAGCAAGATATAGCTTCAATTTATAACATTTAATATACACTTCGTATGTTCCAAGCTATGGAACAGAAAGAACCAGAATAAAAGAAACAGCCAGAATGCAGTTTGAGATAATTATTTAAAACATAATTTGTCTCAACTATGGGGAAGCAAGCATTGTAACTTAACTCAATTTTTGTTGGTTTACAACAAGACTTACTGTAGAGAACTAGCTGATTAACATGATTAACCCACAGAGAATAAAAAACTGTATTACATTTTAGAGAGCAACACTGCAAAGGGTTGAAGGAATGGATAATACATGCTATATAGGTTGGTATTAAAGTCTGAAAATTACTTTTCATTTCAAAGCATATATTTTTCTACTATCATTGTAGGGATCAAACAAGGATGCACCTTATAGGCTTGCATGAGCATATGGATGACTCCAGGTGCCCCATGACACCAATGCACCAGCCTGTCTGTTTCATTGCTTAAGGATGAGGGATAATTCCCAGATCGGAATTTTTTATGCCGCACATAGTCAATGCTTGGTTTCAAAAGTTCCATCAATATCTCCTGATCAACATTAGCTGCTGGCTGCAAAAGTAAATAAGATTTTATTTTTTTTCTCACACAGTAAGGAATACATTGTCATAAAAATGAAAAGTTTTGGTCATACATTATGATGAACCTCGTGTCCATGCTGAAGATCTGGAAAATAAATCCCCCAATTTCTCTTTGTTTGGCTTTCTTACAATTAAAATAAAGACACATCTAAATTGCATTTTGCTTACTGTGCATTGCTTTGTGTATTACAAGAATTTTAACAATATTAACAATAATATGATTCACTTAGCTTTCTGCGACAAGTAGAATAATAACTTGTTCATATATACCAAGAGGGATGTTAGCTTTCTCACATACTTAATGTTTCCATATCTTGTAATAGTAAAATACTTGAGTGACAAATGCTTTTGGCTTGCACATTAAATTAGGATTGCAAAGCTAGTATGCACAAATTTCACGTGCAACTTAATATCTATTTGCTATGAAATAGCTCTATAAATCCTTGAAATCTGGATTCAAGAATCACAATACAAAATGAAGATGTGCATGAACATTCACATCTCTTAGGGTGGGGCTTTTCAATTGGTGGTACACGTACCATCGGTGGTACTTTAGCACCTGGCTGGTGGGACACGATCCTAGCCAAGTGTAGCGGGGGAGGGAACCAGCTAAAGCAGCGCCGCAGAGATCTGGAGATCAGCTGGAGCTGCAGAGCTTGGCAGAAGCCCCAGAATCAGCACACGTGGCGACATGGTAATTGGAGCTTCCAGTGCACCCAGAAGAGGAGGGCGTAGAGAAATATAAAAGGGACAGAGCGAGAAGCTTTTCTTACCAAAGCAGTGAGGAGAGACAGAGCGAGCGGCCTGTTTTGGGAGGAAGGGTGAGTGAGCAAGTGGCGTTGTTTCCGGGGAAGAGCGAGCGAGCAGCGTGTTTAGTGATTAGCATGTTTTCGGGTGAGTTAGCGAGCAGCTTGTTTAGTAAGTGGCTTGTTTTCAGGTGGAGGGTTGGTTAGTGAGCAGCCTGTTTAGCAAATGGCATGTTTTGGGGTGGAGAGTGAATTAGCGAGCGGCCTGTTTTTGGGCGGAGAGGGTTGCAGCTGGCCCGTCTGTGAGAATTGATCTTCTCAGAGCTTCTTTTCTCTGAAAAAAGCAGGGAGGGGAGGGGTATGGAACCCTGAATGATCTCTATGTAAATCAGGTGGTTTTGAAGAAGGATATCCATTACTTTCTGAAAAGTACTTGGAAAGGTGCTCTCAACTTGAATAAAATATGTAAAATTCTTCAGAGCAGTTTTGTGGGTGGGAGCAGATGCTCCATCTACATCAGTAAAAGGTCTGAAGCAGCAGTGCTTTAATTGAAAAATGAGCTTTGACTGGTAGGCAGCTCACTGAACACCTTGCATGTGGAAGTTGGTTGCACAACAGCTAAATTATTGGACATATGAATATTTCTATGATAATCATTACTAGAAAAGGGATTAAGTATAAATTACTAATAAAAGTAGTCATCATTTAATGACTGCCTCATTTAGCAACTGTTCAGAGTTAACAACTGATGGAAAAAATAACTGGGCAACCTATCCTTACATTTAGAAACTTTGCAGATCTGTAAAGCTGAGCAGAGTTCATAAGCACAGCAGTGGCATCTCTTAGCTACTGCCTTACTTAATGATCAAGTAACCAGTTCCAAATATGGATGGTAATTGAGGATATCTGAATTGTCAAAAGGGCAGCTATTTTCAGAATGAGTGACCAGGTAGAGTAAATCTATCTGAAAAGCTTTTCAAATGTGGAGCATCTGTTCTCAGGCAGTGAGAGCTAAGGTAAGATATGATGGGAGCTGCTCTGAAGCAACCTTCAATTCATTTTCCTATCTACTGTTTTGATTCAGAGGACAACACAGTGGTGTTTTTTTGTAGGAAGGGCGAGCGGCCTGTTTTCGCTGGAAGAGTGAGAGAAAGAGAGTGGAAGAACGGCCAACCAGCCACTTGATCATCAAGGTAGTGGTGCATATTAATAAATATGGAGAAATTCATGATACATTCATCAATGCAAAAGGAAAGTGATTCAGCAAAGAAACCACCATCGAAGAAATTAAAACTGGCACCAAATTGAAAATACAGTGAAGATTATTTGAAGTTTGGATTTTATTTCCTGGAAGAAAATGATCAGTAGCTTCCTGTTTGTGTTATCTGCAGTGAAGTATTATCCAAGCATTCCATGAAGCCTTCTTTGCTCCCAGAGACATTTTACAACAAAACATAAAGAGCACACTGAAAAGCCAGTAGCATTTTTTGGGAAGAAGAAAGATGAATTTATAAAATGCCGTGCTACTTTCATGAAGTCCACAACCATCTTGAAAAGATGTCTGGAAGCATCTTATTAATTGTCCTTGATAGCAGCTAAAAGAAATAAGCCTCACACAATCACTGAAGAAGTCGTGGTTCCCTCTGCCATTGCAAATGCTTCAATTCTTTTTGATGGAAAAATGGCTGATACTATTCATAACATTCCATGTTCTGATAACATCGTCCAAAGACAAATACAAGATATGACCACAGGTGTTATTCAACAAGTGGTGGAAAAGATCACAGCAGGAAAAAATTTGCATTTGAATTGGATGAAAGCACTGACATCACTGGTGAAGCGCAATTAATTGTCTTTGTGCGTGTTCCTAATTCGGACGATATATTGGAACACATATTATTTTGCCGCCCACCTGGCAGAACGACTGGGAAGGAATATTCACAATAGTAGACAATTTTTTCAGTGAATATGGAATATTATGGACTTGGTGTGCAGGAATTTGTTCTGATGGTGCAGCAGCTATTACAGGAAGAGCTTTGGGGGTGATAGCATGAGCTAAGGCAAGAAACAGTTCCATTATTTCAAATCATTGCATCTTGCATAGACATGCACTTGCTTCTAAATGGGTGAGCCCAGTGTTACATGAAACTTTGGAGGATGCTGCGAAAATAATAAATTCATCAAAAGCCGGCCACTGAATGGATGTTTATTCCGCCAATTATGCAAGTATTTGGATTCTGAGCACAGCACTCTTCTCTTTTATACAGAAGTACACTGGTTGTCAAGAGGTGAAACATTATCAAGATTATTCAAGCTACGAGTTGAAACACACCTGTTCCTGGCAAATGTTTCATCACCCCTAGCAGAAAAGTTTGAAAATGTCCTCTGAGTATCCTGCCTTGCCTATTTCGTTGACATATTTAAAAAGCTAAATGGACTTCCAGTTTGCCATCACAGTTCTGTGGACGCTGGAAGACAAGCTCCATCTTTCGTGTCCAAATTCGTCCCACTGGGGGACCCTGGAAAGGGTCGAAAGCAAGGAGGGGACCCTTGCTTGATCCTGGGAGGGCGGCAGCCCTTCCGTTTGATCTGGGGAAGCCCTCCAAACCAGTGGGGGAAAGACCGGCCATAGCAATATGGCTCATCACTAAGCTACTGACAGCCTAAGTCAAAATCACTACCAAGCACCTTTAAAGCAACGCGGATAAATAACTAGGTGAAATCTGATCCTCTCTTTAAGACTTTTAAGTATTTTTTCCTGTAAAAGCTGCCCAAAGTATTTTTCTTCCTGAGGAGAGAGGGAAGGGAATTTCTATCCCACCCTCTAAGAAAAGTGGCGATTAACTACCCAGGGGAAACAGAACAACTATAAGAACAATTTTAATCCAGTTGGATGTATATGCTTTTGAAACATGGGGACTAAAAGTGTTCCTATTTTTACTGGAGACGCTTGTTTTTATCTAAAAAAAGAAATAAGACTTGAAAAACTATCATAAAAACTTTGGATTTAAAAAGCTTTAAACAGTGTCGTTGACATTTTTTGGCGAAGTATGGTATTACAACTTGTTATTGCCTAAAACAGACTTGGCCTGAAGCCCAGACGCCAGAAAAAAATTTCCTTGACCTTGACAGTTACTACTTGTGAAAAACTCAGCTGCAAAGAAGGAACTTCTGGGTGGCATATCTGGCTGGTTTGAACTATGAATGTAAACTTTTACTAACTTTCAGAACTATACTTGGGGAATTGCTTTCCTATTTCTTTACATGAGAAGAATATGTTATTATACGAGATGATGGAATACCTTGGACTATAAACTCTTACTTGACAAATAATTTCTACTATAAAAACCACCTATAACACGTGAAATAGATCTCCCATATTTAGCTATAAAAAACAAAAAACTATTTTTAATGTTTGATTTTAAAATCTTCAACTTAACATACTATCAAGAGAATAGTATGGAAAAAATCCTTTCCATGTTGAAACAATACATAAAACCATTCTTTCAGCTTGTGACAAAATAAGATGCAATATAAAGGAACAAGATGTCAGCTTAAGTATACAAATCCAGATTTTGATTACAACCGAAGAACTAACAATGCAGAAAATAACAGGAAAAGTGGAAAAACTAAACACTAAGACAGAGGACCCAATTGATAGATTCAGTCAATGGAAAAATCAGAAAAGGGAGTGACAACACTGAAAATAGAAAAGACTTTAAACAAAAATCAGAAGAATTTGAGGAAAAGGAAGAACAGATTGAATGGAAGATAAACCTATCAGGACAATTTTGGGAAATTGGAGTAATAGGGAGGTGATTTAATGAATACAAATGGGCTAGTTCTTCCAAAAAACCTTCAACTAAATGGTCTTTCTTATTCTAAATAATATATATAATAATAGAGGGAGAACTATTTGATGATTCAAAAGGTTAGTTGGCAAAGGAAGACAGCCAGAATAAGGCTGAAGAAAATAATGGTTTTGATTTATTAGAGGGGATATCACATTACTAACTAGAGGGTTGAATGTGGTGGAAAATAGATAATGTTTCGAAAATAAAGTAAGATTATAATTGAATAGGTAAGACTAATAGACTTTGGTATAAAAAGGGGAAAAGGAAGAAGTTGAGATAAGGGAAATTTTGGTCACTAAAATAAAATATTTGGAAATCAGTTGAAAATAAGAATTCTGTTTACCCAATATGAGATAATAGATATTACCAGAAAAAGAGAGGGAATATTTGAGCTTTTAAAAATTAGACCTAAACTAAGAAAAATATGTATATTACTGATTTATTGGTTAACCCAGACAATACATATAATGGTTTTGATTTATTAGAGGGGATACTGTATTATTAATTAGATGGCTTAATATGGTGGAAAATAGATAACTTTTAGAAAACAGAACATGACTATATTCAAATAGACAAGATGTATATTTAGAATATTAGATTTTATTATGAAAAGGGAAAAAGGAAGAAGTTGAGATAAGGGAAACTTTGGAAGCTTGGAAATTATAAATACCAAATGTTAATTTGAATATTGATGGGAAGTGTAAAGGAGCAGCTTCTTTATTTATTTGTTAAATGGATAAAACAAATGATACCATCCTGAAGTTAAAACTCAGGCTCTTGATGTTGTGACACACAAATGAAACAGGATTGCAAATTGGTAACAATGTAGGCTATACCAATTAGTCACTTACGTTTGATTCATTTGGAAGCAACAAACCAGGATCCTGGTTTGCATCTCATATATGCTACTACTGATAGAACTAAGTCGTATCTTCGTCTTTCTATAATATCTTAAGCTTTTCTATCTCATAATGTGTGCACAGAAGTATATTTGGGATTCAACCACAATGTGTTAATCTTTGTCTGAAGCCAATGTAAATGCCTTCTCCTTTTTCTTAACAGCCCAGCTTATATCAATAACTGGCCAATGGCAGGCTGCAAGAATGACTTTGCTCTGGGCAGACAAGTGATGGTAAATATTTCATTTCAGCCAGGGCTTCTCTTTGTATTGCTTTAGATCCTTTTTAAGCTCTTGACCATCAGTAAGAAGTAGACCAATACAAACAGCAAAAGTGGCTTGAGTGTAGGATCAGAGTACTGGAGAGGCAATGTTCATCCTAGAACTCAGGCACGAGCTGTCCTCCAAAACTGACTCATCATCTTGCTCACTATTCAGAATGGTTCTGAACAGGGGTTAGTGGCCTTTTCCACAATGCTGAGAAACTGCCAGTCACTAGTAAAATAGCTTTCCTTCCCAAACAATAATTTCCCAGTAAAATTAAGCTCTGTTCTCTCTCAATAGAGCAATATTTCAAAGTGGAGTTAGAGAACTCTTAGCATAGTCTGAAAAGTAGACAGCTGCTGACCAAAAGTGACCATTAGAGAATTAGATGAACAAAAAACAAATACATGGATCATGAAATCCTTGGTCCTGAGGTTGTTTGCTTGAGATGTTTCATTCAACTATGTAGTGTCATTTGTGCTAGTGAGCCTGCATTAGCTTATCCTGCCAGTGTTGGTAATTCTGTGATTATGGTATTGTTCATTGTTAGTTTGGTGTTAATCTCTGTGTAACCCCCCCCCTCCATGCTGGTCCCTCAGGAAAGTAAGACATTGAATCCATGTGGCTGAATCAAAATAACTTTTATGGAGATAAAGTGGTTGCAGGAGAGTCAGGCGGAATCTGAAGATCCTGCCCAAAGCACAAAGCTCTTCTTTTGTTTTCCCCAAGCCCCAACCCCACAACCAATCCACGGGCAGCCAAGATGATGCCATGAACATGTTTTGAGATGCTGAGGTACTAGGCAGATAACAGATCACTCTCAGGGCATGACAGCCTTGGAACAAGGCTGGAACTGGTTGGAAGTCTGCTTCATCTCCAAAGACAATCCCCATTCCTAATTCCCAAGCATTACAGCAAAGCGAAAGCATCCCAAATATGCCAACATTCCTCCCTGCTCTAACAGAATGGCAGGACACGAAAGTGATCCTGACATTCTGGTTATTTGATGTAGATTGCTGTCAAAGATATGTTGTGTTTTTCTGTTTTCTTCTTAGCATTCTATTGGCTTTTTTGAATGATATGCAAATCTAGCTCATCTCTATGTCTTCTTTGATAGTTGATTTGTCTAATTGCCATGCTTCAGGAATTTTCTACCATTCTTGGGTTTAGCTTGGTCTTTGATACTCAGTGTCCCAGTTGAAATTACAACTGAGTCTGTATATATTGTGAGATTAAGGATTTTTCTTTTTCTGACTGATACTTAAGTGTTCTTGGATGTACTCTGCTAATCTTCTTCTTGGCTGCCCTATATAGTGGTTGTTATAGTCCTTACTCTGTTATAGATAATTCCTGTTTTTTTTTCTTCAACTACTAGGATTTTTGGGATACTTAAGATGGTCTGGAACAGGGTATCAAATTCAATTTCATTGAGGGCCGTATCAACGTTGTGATGTCCTCAGGGGAGCCGGGGGGGCTGTGGCCCATTGGGTGGACATGGCTGCAGTGGTCATGGAAGACTGGGTGGGTGTGGCTAGTGTGGCTGTGGCCACCTCAATGTTGCTCATGGGGGGATACCTGTGGGGGCTGGGCAGGGTTGGGGGAGATCCAGGAGGTCTCTGACAGGTGGGGCGATGGGCAGGAGGCTCATCCTATGGAGGTGAGGCAAGGCAGGGGGCAGGGGTGGTTGGGCTCTATGTGCAGGGCCGATGGTATCAATTAGCAGCCACAGCCTGCTGACTCCTCGACCGACGCATTCTGGAACTCTGCAGTTTGTTGCAAATACTGGGCCAGCCCTCCAGCAACAGGTGGAGTTGGGGGGCGGCATGTAATGCAGACGCTGGACAGATTTTGTGCTTGGCCCACATGTGGAGCCTGTTCCCCTCGGGCTTCCGATACACCTTGGCCCCACCTTGAGTCACCAGCAGTTCGTGCAGGGCCATTAGGCTGTCGCTGCCGCCCAGCACACCTGGCCCGCCCAGCAAAAAGGAGGCAAAATGGCCGGCTAGCAAGCAAAAGGGCACCATAGCCTCCTAGTCCCAGCAAGGATTACGTGCCTTCCCCCATCTCAGCTGGGCCTGGGTGGCCATGCCGCCGATGGGGATTCATCTTTCCCCGCTTGGGGTGGCCTTTTGCCGGCTGGCACTCTACCATCTCTACTCGGGGCTTCCTAGCTGACCACTTTGCCTTCTTTGTGCTGGGTGGCCTGGAGCTCTGGGCAGCGGCCTAATGGACCTGTGCGAGCGGCTGGCGGCTGCAGCAGGTACCAAGGTGCACGAGGGGAATGCGCTCCACCCACGGGCCAAGAGTAAGACCCTTGAGAGAGCCAAGATGACCAATGGCGACCTGCTTTCCAACCAAAAAGAGATGGGACAGAGTAGGTATGTCCTGCAGTCTGCATCACGTGCCCCCCGACTCTGCATGTTGCCGGTACTGCCGCAGTGCTGCTGCTGGAGGGCCGGCCCAGTATTCACAGCAGGCTACGCAGCCCCTGCTGCCGGAAGCCATCGACTCCGGTGCACTCACTGCCTCCTGTGTGTGCACCTTGGGGTGCGCTGAGCTGGGTGGGGCCAGAGTGGCGGGGGCCAGTCCCTCACCATCTGCGGGGCATCTTGGGGGCCAGATATTGGCCAATCACAGGCTGGATCTGGCCCGCGGGTCTTGTGTTTGACATGTCTGGTCTGGAGGGTTCTCCAAGTTTGGATTAACACTAGTCAAAAAAAAAAATCACACAGAAAAACAATATGCTAATCAAGGAAAAACCACAAATAAAACCTCATTCCTACCAACATTGGCAGGGAAACTATTGTAAATAAACAGGGGGAAAACCCCATACTCACAAAAACTGATGATGTTACCTAGTTGGGTAATGAAACATGTGAACTGCGAGCAAACAACCAAGCTCAAAGAACACCAAGGACTCAACTGTTCAACCTTGAACTACATATATTCTCTTCTATTTGAAGATGGAACATCACCTGCATAAGCATATAGTAAATCCCAGCCACACCATGGGCTGCCCCCACATACTGTTTCCGGTGCCACTGGTACAGCAATGGGCACCGTTCAGTCTTTCGTTCTTCTCTGGAAAAGTTTTTCCCCGACTGAATGATGGATTCCACAACCTAATGCAGACAGAGGAAGAAAAAGAAGAACAATCTACAAGTACACTGTTCTTTTAATTTAATTATTATTTTCCCTAAATTATGCAAACATGTTCTTGCAGTGCTTGTCTTCTCTAAGAGATTCCTTGGATACAGCACTTGAGATTTCCTATGATATCATGTCATTGTTTCTATATAATGCAATATTTTATCACCCAAAAAATCACTTTTATAATCAAGCTAGAGGGGATACTAAAATATCTAAGCTTGCTGGAATGCCGATACATTACCTATTCAGACAGCATTCTTACTATCACTAATATCCTTCCTTTCTGGGCTATTTCAGAATCCCTTAAAGGATTCTGAATAATATTTTGAATAATATTCAAATATTTTGAATAATATTTTGAATAATATTCAAAATAATATTTTGTTATTACTAGTTTTTGTAAGTTTTCAAGAAGGCTAGATGCTGGAAAACAAGGCTTATTCATCTTTGGTTAAGAAGTCCCCTAGTAAAACAGTAATACATGGGACCTTTTGGTTAATTTTCTGAACTAAACATTCTCCTTTCCTGTTCTTGAAAGCTGATATCAAGTTAGACTATTGCTTTAACTTCACCATTACCATTGACACATTTTCAGATTTCAAAAGGCAATGTGGACGTTTCCATGAGCCACTTTATATCCTTTGGTACACATTATGACCTTTGATACTGTGCACCCCCAAAATGCACTGCAACAAAAAACCAGACACCCATTGTACCAAAGAAGAATGGCAGAAAGAGGGTAAAGTGAGCTATAAAATAGAACAGAGCAATAAATTTACACAGGCTCAAAATTTAAGGGAAAATTTTTACAAAATGTTTTATAGGTAGCATTTGGATCCTAAAAAGTTGTCTTGTATGTATCCTAATTTACATAAATGTTGGAGATGCGGTAGTTCTGACGCAACTTATTTTCATGTTTGGTGGACTTGTAAAAATATTAAGGCTTTTTGGATTATGATTTGGTGGAACATTCAAAAGATTTTTAAAAGGAAGATAAAGTTTACTCCTTAACTATTTTTACTAGGGATTTTTGAGGATTTTGATGTTAAAGAAACTATTTTAATGTTGAATCTAGTAATAGCAGCAAGGCTATTGGTAGGTCAATATTGGAAGAAAGATTTGTTGTCTATTATAGAAGAATAGACACTTAAGGTTTCTAATTTAGAAGAAATGGCTAAAATTTCTGCTTATTTAAAGGATCATACACATGAAAGATATATTATGGTATGGAGAAGATGGATAGATTATATTCAGATTAAATATGGAACTAAAAAGTTCCATTTATTTTATGATTAAATTTTAAATAATAATTATTATTAATAGCATTTTATAAAGGAAATTATTTAGTTTATTTACTGTTATTATGGTTCTTTATAATAATTGTTTTAAAATGGATTTGTTTATAATATTATGATATTAAGGTTTAAAGGGAGTTAAAGGTTAAGTATGAATTTAGTTATTGTATAATTTGTTAAATTTAATTAGATTTTGTTTAATATGTTTGTAATAATCCTGTACTCAGCTCTGGGAAGTGGGGGGGTAGGCGGGTGGGTGGGTATGTGGGTTAAATTTTTTTTTGTTAATTGTTAATAACATTTTTTCAATAAAAAAAATAGAACAGAGCAATGCCACCAGGTATTGTATCTGTCTCCCTCTTCTACCTTTTTTGGGAGTACACAGGCATGGACAGCAATATCATGAGGGCATTGCTTTGGACCATTTGGGAATTCCAAAAGTTTAGACGCAAAATAGATACTTTAAAGTTAAAAATAAAAGTCCAAAGTCGATGGCTATGAGAGATTTGGTATCTTAAGCCAACCTAAAAAAATGAAAAGCAACTCCCCTCTTGATTGCTTCTGAGCTGTAGTTTTAAAATAAAACATTTGGGAAAAGATAAAGAGTTGGGTGGTGCAGCACAGTTCAGCACAATCAAATTGCTGGATGAGACATACACAAAGGAGAGAGGAACTGGAAAACCAAAGAAAGCACTATGAACATCTAGAAATATCCTCCTTTCCAAAGCAGATAATTCAAGTTGAAATCTCTGGAATATCACTGAAAGAAAGAAAAAGTATACAATATTGGATTTAAGTGACCATTTGTGGGAAAGTGGTATCCTTTAAATTTAAGTGTTTACAATATTCAAATTGAGTTAGGCAATTAGGGAAATGATGTAAATTGATACAAATGTCAACTAGAAAAGTCTTTTGTTTATTCTTTGAAAATTGAAATTCCACATACAAAGATAGCAAATCCTACATACAAAAACAGCTGAATGGAGATCTACAGAATTAAGATTGTATTGTATTTCCCTTACCTCTTTGATTACTGACTGTGGTACTGTCTCAGGACCAATTTCAGTATTCAGATAAAGCAAAGCATATAGGTAACCAGATCTTCCATAAAGCAATTCATCTGGAAGATCAGACTCTGAAGCAAGGACTATTCTCTGGAGCTGCAAAAGTCTGTGCAAACCAGAATTGAGAAAAGCAATAAAACTCTAGTTTTTACATTAAATCTCAGATGTAATTATGGGATGTGTTCTAGTAAGTTTTCACATGATTACCGGAGTAAGCAAAAGCTGGCCTCCACTGAAAATTCTCTTGCATTTCAAATGTGTTTGAGTTATATCTAGCTGGAAATGGCTAGAGCAGTGCTGGAAAATTCCTGGGGGTAGGGAGGGACAAATTTGTCCCCATAAAATGTCATAGATGGTGTAATACATGTAAAAGTGGACAGAGTTTCTAGAGTTTTTGGAAGCTCCCCCATAGATGCCCCTGGCAGCCAGATGTTTTGGAAGACAACTCTACTGATTCCAATCTCATTTATTTCCGATGAAGCATGTTTGGAATCTTATCTTTATTACTCTTTGTTTATGTTTCACAAAACTCCCCAACCTTATTATTAGGACATGAAGAAGTTCCATGTACTGTAAATAAGAGATAGTATTTGCAAAAGTAGTGGCAGAGATTAATCTCACACAAAGGATGGATTAGCTGGCAACTGATTAAAATTCTAAATATAAACACCAATAGAAGGGTGGAATCTCTATAAACCAATCAACCATCCAATGTAGAAGCAAGAGAGAACATAAAGAATGCAAACATCAAACACTTGGTCTTTATGACTTTTCAAACATGACTGTTGTCAATTTCAAAGTAGCTGAATGACAGGAAGACTTTCCAAAAGCCTCAAGATCAGAATATTAATTTCCATAATATTTTAAACAATTAGAATAAAAAAATTAAGAAATACACACAAAATTAAAATAGGTCATTATCTGGCACAGAAAAAATGACAATGAGGACAAAGTGCTCTATCATCATTTGATAGGGGGATTACTGGGAGATAACTGGGACTACTTGCCAGTAATCATCTGCCTGATAAAAGGCAGTCTTATACCAAGGAATATTTAGTCGACCTAGTCTTTTTGTCCTAGTCAATCTGTCACTCACTTGGCCACACATTCCTTGGATTCACTATCATTTTTCATCTTGTGATACACAACAGCTCCCACTGCTAAAGGTCCAGCATCACCACAAAGAAACGTAACTCTTCTTCCATTCAGATTACGTAGGATTCTCTTCACATAATCCAGGGATCTCTGTAGGTGAGTCGGCTCTTTTGTCACACGATATAGCTGAACATACAAGAGGGCTATGCCTGAAATTGCCACACAGAAAGAAAGATGGAATACTTAGTCAGTGGTTTCTCTACATTTCTGATCCCACATCTGATATACTGGAGGCATCATTCATGTACACATCTAAATCCAGTAGTTTAACCTATGTTAAGGGCCAGGCCTGCCACTAAACTATCACATAAATACAATTCCTTATAGTTTTTTAAATTTTTTACTTTGACCTCTTTTTACCTTCTCTCTATAACTCTCTATTGTTCCTCTTGTAGGAAACTATAAGAGTTGGATTTTGCTAAATAAAAACTAAGAGAATAACCTGAATCAATCTTACAAAATATCCACATAACTGTTTTAATGCTGATATATTGTGATTACCACATTCTGGGCCAATTGTAAATTCCACATTATTTTCAAAAGAAATGTAGAAAGCCATACTTGATGCTACCCAGGATGTGTCACCCACATCATGTCAATCTTCCTCAGAAAAGGATGCAATTGGTTATTAGCTCAAACTTATCAAAATTCCCCTATTGGGACTCCCAGATCAAAACAGGTTTCTTACAAGAGAGTTCAGTTCATCCAGAAGAAGATTGAGCACCTATAAAAGCCGTGGTGATGCAATGGTTAGAATGCAGTATTGCAGGCTAATTCTGCTGACTGCCAGCAGTTCGGTTCTCACTGGCTTAAAGTTGACTCAGCCTTCCATTCTTCTGAGATTGGTAAAATGAAGACCTAGAATGTTGGGGCCAATATGCTGATTCTGTAAACCGCTTATAGAGGGCTGTAAAGTGCTGTGAAGTGGTATGTAGGTCTAAGTGCTATTGCTATTGCTATAATCACCAAGAACTTGGATTTGTTTGAATTTGTTTGTTCTCCAGCATCAGACTATTAAAAACTAAAACATGTACAATAGAAGCTCTTGAAACAGCCTATCTTGAACTTTCAGGAAAGAAATGCAACTGTAGATCATTATGTACTGGTAGAGCTAGCTCCATATCAATGTATAGTTTTCATAGATACTAAATAAGAACAAGATCAACCATGCAGTATTTCATAGGACAATTCCCAAGAAGGTCAAAGAGATATCTCCCAAGATCACCTTCTGATAGCACTGTAAAAAGGAGGACCATTTGAACTCAAGCTGTTCAGATATTCAGGGATCTCAACAGAATTCCTATTTCTCTGTTTTGTTTTCAGTACCTGGTGCGTTTTGTCTATTAGGCCTATCAAATACAAAGTGAGAAAATGCACTGGCTTCAAATGATGGCATACTTAATTGTTCAGAAAATAAGAGTACCTGGGCTGTAAAACTAGATCAAGTATTTGAAAAATATCCTGTAAATGATAATTCACTTCTGTGCTACTGCCAAGAAAATTACTTGAGTATGTGCACAAAATTATCAAGAATCCTTGACTCAAAGAAGACTTTATTTTAATCTACTGATAGATCCATGACTCTAGATCAACATTTCTCAATTGGTGTCCTTCAGAAGTATCAGGATTAGGGAGTTATAGACCCAATACCATGAAATGAATCAGGTATACTTTAGATAGCTTAACAAATAGACCAAAAATACTACTACTAACTATATGCTGTGTATAATAATCATTGTTTTCTGTATTGGTACCTTGGTACTTGACTGCTTCAAAACCCATTGAATTTGGTACTCAATGCATTTTGACACAAAAGTAGAATGGATGGAATGGAACAGAACAGAACAAAAGAATAATTATTTATTGGCCAAGTGTGACTGGACAGACAAGGAATATCTGCGCTGTATAAGCTCTTAGCGTACACACAACAAAGTGGTAAGTCATGACTGTAAAGATACAGTCATAAATCATAATACAAATAAATGATAAATCATAAGATACCAATTAGGAGAAGATAATACGTAAGATGAGAAGAAAAGGATAATGAAAATACAGGTACTCCTTGACTTATGAACACAATTGAGCCCAACATTTCTATTGCTAAGTGAAACATTTGTTAAGTGAATTTTGCCATTTTATGTCCTTTCTTGCCATGATTGTTAAGTGAATCATTGCAGTTGTTAAGTTAGTATCATGGTTTTTAAGTGAAACTGGCTTCCCCATTGACTTTGCTTGTAAGAGGATTGTAAGAAAGATATTGCAGCGGTCATAAATATTAACCAGTTGCGAAGCATCTGAATTTTGATCATGATCACGGGATGCCGCAACGGTTGCAAGTGTGAAAAATGATTATAAGTCACTTTTTTCAGTGCTGTTGCAACTTTGAATGGTCACTAAATGAACTGTTGTAAGACAAGGATTACCTGTACAGCCCTATTATGTGGGTAAATATGTGTTGTGGGAATTAGGTGTTTAGCAGAGTGATGACATATTTGTCTATATTTGTGTCTAGTTGTTTTGGCATACAAATGCCAAATGTCCAGTATTCGTTGTTTGTTTGGTACTCTGTGATAGGAAAAGAGCGATGGCCATGGGGAACAGACAGGAAGTTAGTCATGCTGGGAAGATTGCTGACATAGGAAAAGGAACAGGCAGGAAGTCCTTCCCAACTTACACAAAAGGTTGTGATTTGTTTGGCACTCATTTTTAGTACTCATCGAGCTTCCCAGACCCAATTAATGGTGAGTACTAAGATACCACTGTATTTTGTGACACTGAAGAGAAGTGATTTAAGAAATAATGCATTTTGCTAAATCATGTTATTTACTGAAATACATTTAAAATGCAAAAACACTTATTAGGTTTAAATTAAACAGGTTAAAAAAGAAAAGCTATATGTGCTGCGGAACAAGTGATGGCCCTTTATTACAAAAATATTGGTTCCCAATTCAATTAACTTTCAGTTGTCCTTGCCTGTCTCACAAGACCTACAGCTGCACAATGAATAACAACATGTAATATATCATTCTGGGCTTCTTCAAGGAGAGGATGGATACAATGGGTAGAAAAAAAATAAATTCCAAAAATAAAAGTACCGGTAATATGAATAGATTTACATTTAACTCACATAAAGCTCCAAAAATATTTTAACACAGTGTTGTATTTAAATGTTCATGTTCAAAAATAAGGCTTGTCCTAGGAGACTGGCACGATTCCTCTTTATTTCTTACTGTATGCAAAAGTTTGAATTCTTTCATCATGACTCAGGAATGAATTAGCAATGAACTATCTGCATTAGAATTTTGTTCTATTACATTTCTAAAAAGAAAAGCAAGCGAAAAGCAGCAATATTTTTTAAAAAGCTACATTTTACCAGCATTAGGCTGTTTCCATTTTTTAAAAGCAAACAAATCACGAATGCTACAATTTTGTCATCTCTCCTCCTACAGAACCATCTGTCTAAAACACTTTGCATCCTCCAAAGCCATTAAAGAAGAACAAGCTGAAAGATACTGATCTCTTTTAATAATAGAGAGTGGGCTAATCTGCTTTCAAATTTAACTTTTGTTTGGGACAAAATTAGAGAAGTCAACGTGCGTTATCAAAATACCAGTTTTTCAGGTCACTCCCTAAGCTAATCCCTGGAAGTAGTTGCTGGACAACGCTGTAGAACAGAGAGTAGGGAGAAACAGCTCTCCAATAGTGATTTGAGCATCTGATTTTGGGGACTTCTCCTCAACTGTTTCAATCCCAGATCATCATTATTACAATTTATCCAAATCAAAAATTACTGCCTAACTCTATTCTTATCTCTTCTTTCCTCTCTCTTTCTTTGTTAAGGATCTTTTAGGTTTCAAATTATTTTGGGAGTCTTTTCAGCTATATTGTGGAGCTAAAAACATGATAAAAATAAATGTTAAATTTTGGATGAATTGCATAAACTTTGATTGCAATAGGCTTTAAATGAAGAACTAGGGACCCAAAGGTAGAGGTCTGAAAAACTATGTATGCTATCTTGTACCTCTATGTACACTTTGTCCTGCAAGCAATGCATATACTGTGCCCATAAATTGCATTCCATTCCTAACATCAATTCTTCCATATTTATTTTGCTACCTTATATTCTAGTCAGCCAGTCCCGGGGAGAAGTTGTACAGAACATTCAAGCCTTGGATAATACATTTCAGGGTAATACATTCCACATTCTGCAATTCATTAAGCATTGCCTCTAAGAGACACACATATAGGTATGCATGTACTTCTCCCTAATCCCCCTCCTACTCTCCAAAACTTCAACAACTCTGTCTTGCCATCTCTGCCTCTCAGAGACTGAATCTGTAGATTCTTTTTTGTTTTAGTTTGCTCTATATTTCTTCCTGATGAATCTGCTGCTTTGAAAACAAATTCTTTTTGTAGATTTATAATATTAATAATAGAGTTGGAAGAGACCTTGGAGGTCTTTTAGTCCAACATCCTGCTCATGCAGGGAACCCAATACCATTTCAGACAAATGGCTGTCAGTCTCTTCTTAAAAACTTCCAGTATTGGAGCATTCACAATTTCTGGAGGCAAGTTGTTTGTTTTTTTAAAAAATGTCTTGCACGTATTTTATAAGTTGATCAAACCTTTTTGAAAAAAAATCAACTAAAGACTGCATCTTGCTGGCCAGACTCTGTTTTCCTCCTTGGGTATCAGCCTCCTCCTTCTCAGCATAATACGATCCACTATTACTCAAAGCAGAGAGAGAACAGGAAGGTAGGAGCGAGGGAGATATTTTCTGAGTATTTTGATCCAAAAAGTTTGAAAGTTAATAAAATACAAATCCAAAGTCATGTGTTATGTTTCCATAAAGAGCAAAAATTGAAGAAAGCGATCAACTAAATCAAGGAAAGAAAGCCAAAACAGAAAACAGAAAGAATCAGCAGAGGTTGAAATAAATCAGCATTCAGCCATCAAATTAACCTTTGAAGATATAAACAAAAGCAAAAGTTCAAAAAGTAAACTTAAAAATTCCAGGCATGCTTATGATAAAGTGCTGCTGGTCAGAGGATGGCAACGTCTATTGACGTTTCAATTGCTTCCACAGGGAGCTGCAATCTAAATGACTTCCCCTCCCAGGTGGGTCCACAACCATCCAAAAGTCATCTTGGGTCAATCTTAAGGGCCCCCATTCAAATCCAGGGGCCAAGACTGCCAAAGAACCAGCTCTGGCAGCAAAAATAACAGAACATAAGAGAAAAAAATCCTCTTACACCTCAACAGTCATTTTGAGGGGGTGGAGTTTTACTCAAAGTCATTTCTGTTTTAAGATAGGGAATCCATCAGGGTGAGGGGAAAGGGGGATTATAAATGTGCTAAAACTGGACAGATTATAGACTAAATTAATTTAAATATTCTACATTCTTTAAATATTTCATCTGGACTCCTTATAGCATTCCTACAGACCCAGAGAAAATTGTGTCACCATGACTAAATGTATTTCAAGCCTGCATTAAAAGGAAGAATTCCTTTCTCTATGTGATCAGACATTTTATAAAAAAATCTAAACATCTGATCTTCTGAAGTGAACTAAAGAGAAGATGGAGGATGTATGCAAACCAAACCAGATTCAAACCAGATTCAGCATGGCTGAAACTTTTCTGCCTTAATTTTTTTTAACATATGATCTATATATTTCGCTACCATGATATAAACAGATTTGAGATTCTAGACCAGTGATGGCGAATCTTTTAGAAACCGAGTGTCCAAACTGCAAACCAAACCCAAGAATGTATCATCGGGTGCTGGGTGGGCGTGGCCCATTGGGTGGGCATGGCTGCGGTGATAATGGCAGACTGGGGTGGGACTAAAAAGTTTAATCAATCAATTCCAACTTTGCGAGATCTTTTTTTTTTCCTGTGAGAAGTTGAAATTGATTGATCGAACCTTTTTTTTTTGCACACGGCGGCAGAGGCCTAAAGCGAAAAGATTTTATAAAACCTGGCTGAAGGCCTAGGACTGGGGCAATGGCGTGTGTGCCCACAGAGAGGGCTCTGCGTGCTATAGGTTCGCGGTCCTAGAAAGAGTGCAGAGAATAGTAACAGAGATGATTAGGAGATGGAAGCTAAAACATATGACGAATAACTGCAGGAATTGGGTATGTCTAGCCTAGTGATAAAATGGATCTGGGGTGACATGATAGCAGTTTTCCACTATTTGAGAGGCTGCCACAAAGAAGAGAGGGTCAATCTATTCTCTGAAGCATCTGAGGGCAGGACAAGAAACAATGGATGGAAACACATCTAAGAGGGAACCAATCTAGAACTAAGAATAAATTTCCTGACAGTGAGAACAATTAATCAGTGGAATGTCTTGCTTCCAGAAATGGTGGATGCTCCATCAATAGAGGTTTTAAGAAGAGATTGGACAACCATTTGTTTGAAATGGTATAAAGTTTCATGCCTGAGAGGGAGGTTGGAGTAGAAGACCTCCAAGATCCCTTCCAACTCGTGTTATTGTGTTCTGTATCTTCTTCACAATACTGTTAAATCTGCTACAGATGTATTCATGAAAGGGGAGACAAAACATTATCAACAATTGGAATATTAACAGAATGCAACTTGAATGTAAAATCTAGTGCTTCGTATATATAATGAAGGTCTTATGACTTTCCAAATCAATTATCAAAGAGTTCAGGTATCTCACCTGTCCAGCCAGTATATGCAGAGCAGTCATGAGGATCTGCTGTTTTTAATCCTTCTTCCATTTGCTGCAATAAGTCTTTAATTTTACTTGTAATTTTCTTATTAAAATATGAGCTGATCTGCAAAAAATAAGGCTAGAAATGTTTAAGACATATTATGTGCATAGAGAAAGGTGATTCAGATAACAAATTAAAGCTTCGTGAATAAAACACACAAATCTTAAACAATAAATTACATTTACATAATCATATTTAAGCAATAAATCACATTATAATATAATGTATAAACATTGGGGGGAGGGTATAAAATGTTTGGGGACTGAAACATTTTAACTCTCAAAAGTTTCCGCTTTGGATGGAATGGGTTATTTCACCTGAATTGTTCAAACCTTACTGGAAATATTCCAGTTTGAAATGCAGCATTTTGACTAGAAAACAGGAATTACAATACTCCTCCTTATAGAGCAGTAGATTTCAGCATGTCCCAAAGACAGTTCTGAATTTGGAACACATATTTTGTATTTAACCATTTTGATCCTTTCCTAATTACACAAAAAGCAAAAAAACCATATTAAAATTTAGCATTATATATGAGCTCAGTCAGCATGTTTGTTTAGCATTCAAAGGAATATAAGAGACCCAGCAACTTTGAGACTTAGTGTTTCATAATGACTTTTAATTACTCTGGTGAAGTAAAACTTTCAACAACTTCTGACTCTGCTTCAATCATTCTTTTTTAAAAAAACTTTATAAGGATTGTTATGGCAGCTAAGAGAAAAATAAATGGCACCCATTTATTATTTCTTGCTATATGATTGCATGCTTTCAGTAGGGTTTCATTCCAATTTCCTTTGTTTTTCAACTTCTCTTTGAAACAAGAATTTTGTAGTTTAGCCTTAACAATGGATTTCACCCAACCAATTGTTCATAGCTAGATGAGGAGGAAGACAAGAAGCAACTACAGGTGTTTATGTTGCTAAATGAGACATTTGTTAAATGTGTTTTGCCCCATTTTATGACCTTTCTCACCACAGTTGTTAAATGAATAATTATAGTTGCTAAGTTACTAAGTGAATCTGGTTTGCTTGTCAAAAGGTTGCAAAAACTGATTACGTGACTCCGGGGCACTGCAATGTCGTAAATATGAACCAGTTCTCAAGCATCCAAAATTTGATCATGTGACCATGGGGGATGCTGCAACAGTCGCAAGTGTGAAAAATGATCATAATGGTCAGTTATAATTTTTTTCAGTTATTACTTTGAACTGTCACTAAATGAACAGTTGTAAATTGAGGACTACCTGTACTATGATAACACCCTTTTGTGGCTAGTGATCCTGAATGATGGTGGCTGTTCTTTCTTAGTTGGCAACAATGCATGTTGCTAGTTTAAACCATAATGCAACAGAGCAGGAGTATTAGCAGGAAGTGATATAACCTAATAGCAGTGCACAAGACAGGTACACAAACATTATATTAAGATTTAGGTTTGCATTATAAAATATCGACCATTATTTGGGCTACATAGTCAATGCAATATTTTTACAGAGGAGTCCAACAAATCTGTCAACTTACTGAGTTGAATTTTAGCTACTGGAATGTGAAAATATGCAGAAAATAATGGGCTGAAACCAGCCAATCCATCACACAATATTTTTTTAAAAAATATTTTATTGTTTTTTTAATTTTTAAGAAAAAGTACTCAGGACACACTGTGATATTTGAGTAATCAGACATTCCAAAGTAAAAATATAAACAACTCAACTCAATACATTCACTGTCTCCTCTCTATTTCCCTCAAATAACATAATACGTTTAAAATATTCCATTTCTAAATTAAATTTCTATTACTAATAAACCTGTTTTAAAACTTTATCAGTTTACAATTACCAAAATCAAATTTCACTTTAACTCAACAAGTTATCAATTCAGGTATTCCTTCCAGATATATTCTAGTTCTTAATTTCTAGGGAAGTAATTCCAAAAAGGCTCTTTTAGATAGCAAAAACAAAATAGAATAGAGAGAATAACAAAGAAAAGTCTCACCAGGATTCACCACGGGGGTTCTTACATCTTAGATGTTCTTTGACTTGCGGTTTGAAGCAGCAGGGTGATCGGCCATTTTACTGGCCGATCTTCTTCTCCGTTGGCCCTTAGAGATGGCTTGGACAGCTGAGGGAGCTGCTGCTCCTCAGCAGCCGAGCAGAGCCTCCTCGACAGAAGTCGCACCCTCCAGGGCGACTTTGGACCCGCATAAGGGTCTGCCAGCGGAGGGAAAGCTAGCTGACAAGGAGAGAAGTCTCCCCGTGTGACTAGAGATGCCGCGAACCGGAAATCCCATCACACAATATTTTGAAGGGATGATTTATTCATCTAATAAAGAGAAAATATCCATCTGAATCCATAAGATTTCCAAGAAGGTATGATTTCTTTAGAAGAGGTAGTATTTTGTGAAGAAAAACTAGCCTACAATTTGACAATATTACAATTATGGGCCACTGGCTAATATTTCCTTTCTAAGCAGTGTCTTAGCAATTTTTTTTACTTTTAAAAAAACGGATTCATTTTCAAATCTATTTAAATTCCTGCCTTTAGTTATTCTCTAAGAAGAAATTCCTTAAATATGTGGTTCTGTGGACTGTCATGGATTTCTCAATGGTTTTTCATACCATTAGCCATGACATCATTGTAAATACATATACTCAGCTGGAATGTGGGCTTCATTATTTGATATCAATACCTTGGCATAATCTTGGAACTGTAGATTTTTAAATACACATATATGTATTAACTCCAAACATTTAAATTAGTGCATACAGTTCAAGCAAAAAGGGCCATTTTTTCCCTGCTTGCTATATCAATTACGGCAAAGATTTCTGTCAGTTTGTAAAAATGGTCTTTTTGGGACCATAATATGTGATTTACCAAAACAGTAACTCTGAGTCTTCAATATAAATAAAAAGCAAGAGCAATCCTAAGTGTATGCCAAATAACTAAACATCACTAAATCATCTGAAGTTGTCCCAATTAATTATTCCCTCAAGCTAAGTAATGTTTGCCATTAATTATCATTAGTCTTAAACTCACTCCTTAAAGAACCATTTAGAGCAGGGATAGTCAACTTTGGCTCTTTTATGCCAAGGTTGACTACCCCTGAGTTAGAGTCTAAACTAAATCTTAATTATATGGAGCATGCTGTTCAAAATATGAGGGTACATATACTTAGTGAATTAATTTTTAATACTCACAGTTCAATTATGCAAAGTCTATTTTAGTCCTAGATCTTGGTTAAAAATTTTCCTCTTATAACCTGACAACTGAAGGCAACTGCTGATTATGCTCTGCAAAGCATCTGTTATAACTTAGGAACTCAATTTATATTTGACAAAATATTATGATTCGGTGATAATGGTCATGACATTACAGAATCAAAATGACAAGCAGCACTTATTATGCATATCATTTGCTTATTAATTTGAATATAAACATTGATTTGGAGAAAATATATAGATGCAGAAATGGAAAGTTGGGGATGAGACAGATAGGGTATGAGACCAAAAGCAACAAATCCACTTGTAGATGTGAACTGTACATAAGCACTCATGGTAGGAGCTGTAGATTTCAGAGACGAATGAATTGGGAAGTCTGACGTGACATTTTTTCTTTTTCTTATCTACAGTTCATATTTAAAATACATATTTTAGATTTTTAAAATATAACATTCAGATTTTCTTTAGCTAAAACCTTTTTCTGCCTTTCTCTACTGCATCAAAATAGAACTTTTCACCTCTCCTTAGGGATAGAAAAGTGAAAGTTCTATTTTGATGCAATTAGGAAGCAGAAAGATTGCAGTTCTGCTTTGCGGAACTTTGCAAAGTGAAGTTCACTCACAGGATGTCTCCAAGTTGGAGGAATCCTTTCTGGGGAACATCTGGCCTTGCAATCAATACCATTTTAATTTTTCACAAAAACCCCAATGGAGATCCAGTGACATTGTTTTGCTCGAAAGAAAGATATTGCAGCTTGGCAGATTTGGCAGCTGCCAGTGATACTGTATTAGTGTCAATTCTGTATCCTGGAAACAATTCAGGATACAAGCATTTCAGATTTGTGAACTACCAAGTGACAGCCAGATATCCATATATGGCAGCCTACAAGGTACTCAGTTCTCAATTTCACTTTGCATTCAACAGCAATAGCAATAATAGACATTCAATGATTTTAGGGTTATTCTGAATCTGATTCTTTGTGATTGATAATGAAAAATAAGTATTATTATATAAACAGCATGTTTGGGGATGGGCATGTCATTAATAATTGTTCACAGGGAATAACACACAGGTTGTCAATCTTTGCCATGCTGAGAAAAAAGCAACTAAATTATCTTGAGACAATATTTTGGTTTTTGGGGCAAGAGAAAAAGGCAAAAGGTTTATATTCTAAACGGAAAAATCCACTATATAAAAAAGGGACTTAAAAGAAAAATGAGGAGAGATTTTGGAAGCCAGAATTGGCACATTAGGAAAGTATCAATTTATTAATTTTTTGCAAGGCTGAAATAAATGCCTGAGACAAGGCATTAAAAGCCTAAACATCAGTTTTATATTCTTACCTAAATAACTATGTATTGAACTGTGAACTCGCCTGGGCAGCACATATTCCAACTCTTATTGAGCAAAATAGGTAACAAAAGTATTTTAATTTTATAGTGATAGTCACGGGAATTGGATTTCTGCTTTTTTTGTTTTGTTTGCTTATTTTTTTCCTGTTCATTCCTAGACAAGTTTGCTTAAAATACAAATCTAAGGCATGTGGTGGGATGAGCAAGGTGAGTGCATTAGTTAATAACTTGCCAAACATCATTAGTTGGTTGGACCCTGAATTTTGTTACTATAATCCTGGAAGATTCAAGGAGCTACCAAAAGAGAGCTATAGGTTGCTTATTTCAGGTTTAGAACCAGAGAATATGTCAATGGGCAGATAGCCACACTTCTTAAAGTAAATCCTACAGGAGTCAGTAAGGCTTATTTCTGAGTTACAGATTACCAAGGTATAATTTGGATTTTCCTGTCATCTGCTTAAAGATGTCAGTCCATTCTACAATCATTCTCCAAAAGCTTTCTTTTGCATAAATAACCTTTCTATAATTTGTTAAGTTGAACTGGCTCAAATAAGCAAATTCTATTTCAGAACATGGGAAAATTGTTGCCAGATTACCAGAGACCTTAACACTTCCCATTATTAAAAAAGATTGCTAATTAGAACATACTAAACTGTGCTTCCAATATATACCGATTCAGTATTTATGTCCCATGAAAGAAAATCTATAGAAATTAGTTCTGATGTATAGACAGACTGGGATAATTCTCAATAATTGATCAAAATGCAGGTTTTATGCTCCTCTGAAAAAATTCACCACAGCTCAAGAAATATCAGTTATTTCCTTCAGATCTATTTGCTAAGATATTGGAATATTAATGGTGGTGATCTATCACTTCATATGACAAGTACCCCAATTTATACTTCCACCATATTTATTTCTTAGATTTTTATCCTTAGTTTTTTGTCACCTCAACATTGCTTATATATCTAATGCTCCTGTCTCCTATTTTCACACAGCCCTGCAAAGTGGTTGGATTGGGTTGGTAGACAGTGACAGGCCCAAAATCACCCAGCAGGCTTGAATAGGAGTTCCCACACATATTCCTAAAAATCTGAAAAATCAGATAAGGCTCATAGGATGAAACTCCGCTCCTCCATTGACATTACAGCAATTTCAGTATATGAAGTTGAAAGTGGAGATACAAAAATAATTATTAAAGAGGGAGGGAATTTCTATATTCAATGAGCATGTGGGAAAGTAATCATCTCATTATATTTTCCACCAATCTGTAATTAATATGTGATAGCTAACGTCACTGACATACTCTTTTTACAATCCTACAGACAAGGAAGCAGCCTTCTATACAGTTTCTGACATTTACGGAGCTTTGATTAGCTCCCGTTCCAAGTTCTTCCATACGCTTGGGTGTGGAGAAAGGCCTGGAGGGGAAGGAGCCTAGTATTAACGCGAGGGACCTAAAAGAGGGAGAGAGAAGACACAAACGCTAACCGAGAACTTAGAAGGAAAAATAAACATAGACATCTGCTATCCATGACGGAACGCCCAGATACCAAAAGACCTCCTTTCCTCAGGACAGACATCCGGTCCCCCAGAAGGCTTAGGATACGAAATATCCCAATCCAACCCTCCTGGCTGGCTTTTTGAAACGGGGATGTCAGGACAGACCTGCCTGTGGGATGGGGGAAGAACCAACGTTCAAAACAACGAATCTATCCGAGCCTCACAAGAGATTCAGATTTGCTTTCCAGGTTACTGGAAACCAACTGTATTCGGGAACGCCGGCTTTGAGTTCTTAATTTAGTCGCGTCCAGGCCTCTTTCTAGCTTACCTGCCCGTCGCTTTCGAAGGGGAGGGAGTCGTCTCGTTGGGGCGAAGCCGAACTGCATCGATTGTCTTCCGAGTCGCTGGGGGTAGGCAAAGTAGTGCTGGCCGAGGCGGTGTTTCCATAAGGCTGATAATCTGGATATGGGTTGTTGAACGCCCTTTCCTCCATCTCCGCTTCACTTCCCAATTGCACCTTCAATCGTTTGGACATGCCCTCTCCCATCTCAGCCTGCCCCCTGTCCTCCCACCTTCGAACGGCGAGCCAAGCAGGACAAACTCCCCAGCCAGCGATAATAACAGCAACGCGCTTTAGTGGTCGCAAAACGGCAGCTGCTATCAGCGCCTAGAAAGACAGCGGCTGTTGCATGCCAGCCAAAAATTAAGGGGAAGGGGGGGAAGTTCGGCAGATGGTGAAGTTATCTCCCAGGGAAGGTTGAAAATGCGACACGCGTCATCGCGGAGGGAAAACCAAAACAGGATGAATATCTAAAATCCTTAGCAGTTAAGGATTAAACAGTTAGCGCAAGTCCTAGTCAATCTGCAAGATGACAGGACCAATGTGAGACTATTGTTTGTCATTTATCTTCTTTCCAGTCTTAAATCTAGCCAGCTTTCAATGTGTGGGGGCGCAAGTATAAATAATAATTTGTTCCCACCCCATTCTCGGGTCAAGAGTTAGAGAAACACCACACCCTCCCAATGATGGGGCAGTTTCCTGGAAATTTGGCAAGAAAATATAGGAGGCCTATCCCTCCTGCGGCACACCTGGGAGGGGCAGACAAGGGAATTCTCTGGGGCTTGGGGGTATTCTCTAATTCCCCATTTCCGATGGATATATTCCCGTCTCCCTTTTCCGAGACAGGTCAGGCCGTCGCTGTTGTCGCTACGGCACTTATTAACAAACTCCGAGGCTGCAAAACAGAATTTTTGCCTCCTGCCTCTCCGCAACCGAAAATGATCGTCTCCAAAATCATTTTAGATCAAGATAATCAGGATCAGCAAGGGGAAAGAAAACGCAAAGAGTAGACAATAGTTGAGAACTCCTTACGCAGAGACATTCGAGCACGCTGACCAGCAGGGACCATCAGGAGAGTAAAGACAAAAAACAGCCCTTTGAAGCTTTAGTACCCTTTTCTCTTGTTGGTTTTCTGCCCTCTTCTGTTCTGGCAGATGAGCATTCACACTCCCACTAGTCCAGGCACAGCCCGATCCTTCTTCAGCTAATCAGATCAATATTAGTACAAATACAACAAATAAAAGACTGGAAGAAGACAAGAAAATCACAAAGGTAGTGGAGCAGCCACTGATAGTTACTGGCGCTCTTCCCACCCTGGCCTGCAATATTTTCCAGCAGCTTCTGTCTTCCTTTGTAGCTCTGAAGTCAGTGTCTGCTTGCCTTCTGTGCCAGTGAATGAACACGCAAAATCAATTGTAAATGACATAGACTCAGGAGGTGGGAGGGCCTCAGCCAGTTTACCTCACAGTTGTGAAGAGCGTACAGAAACAGCCCTTCCCAACTGACACACACACTTCTATAGAATGCATATTTGTTTCACAAAAGGATGTTGAAGCTGACAAAATGAGTTTTAAAATGTAGTCCTACCTATTGGCAGACTTGCTCAATGTAAAGAAATGTAATTTTTTTGCAGCTATAATTTCATTCCTTTTAAAAAATAAGTAGAAGGGAGCCTTTGTCAAACTATGTTGAAGTTCACTTGCCTGGGGAAGTGATTGGAGGAATTGTCCCTCAACAATATTGCTTTACATCTTCAGGTTTCCAGTTCAGTTTTTCATTTGGAGATTTCTTATAATATGCATCTGATTCATAAAGATATGGTATATGTGATCTGTACAGTGCAGGCCTACAAAGCAGGGACATTAATAGAAATACTTTTGTATTAAAGATATTCCCATTTAATTCTACATTCAAATATCCAACATTTCTCCACTAGCACCTCTGCCATTGCAATCCTGTGTAATTCCCAATGTGGCTGTACTTTTATTGAAGACAGTTTTTTTCTAAATCTGCCAGCATAACCATTATCACATCCAGATCTCTGTCTCCATGCCTTGCCCACATATCTCTGGACAAGAAGATAAAGGGACCTCCTCTGACTGGCAGCAGGTTTTAGGCAGAGTTTTTTTCTTTATCTATTTATACTTCTTAACTGGAGATACTGGGGCCTAAATTTGGGGTCTGATTTTGGTTATTCCTGTTGTGATCCTACCCAGATTCTTGCCAGTCATTATATGAAACTACTTATAACTGCATTGGACAAGAGAGAACCATGGCATTTACAACCATTTGTCTAGCTGTCTCTTTCTATCTGTCCTGATTTGGAAACTGAGAGAAAAATATTCCAAAGCCTGTCTAGGTATCTAAAATAAGGTGACCAACGTTTTTACAATGAAAAGGAGGACACAAATAAATTGAAGAAAAAATATCGTAAATAAAATAAACATTTTATTCATTGCAACAATAATACAGAATACACTATAATATGATAAATGCATAATAAAAAACATTTGTAACAATGACATTTTATATTGTAATTATGCTTACATGCTGCGTCCCCGTCCGCAGCTGCCCCGCCAGCACTGCTGCCCCACAGTGTAGAGTGGGCCCCGCGGCTCCCAAAGCACTGGCTGTGCCAGCTCTGGCCCCGGGGGCAGCCCGTCAACACACCCCACCTGCAGCTGCCCCGCCAGCACCACCGCCCACCCTGCGCAACCCTGTGTAGAGCAGGCCCCGCGGCTCCCACAGCATGGGGGGCAGCCCGCCACCGCCGTCCCTCACACCCCACCCACAGCAGCCCCGCTGCCCCTGCCTCTTGTGCCCGCAGCCATTATTGCCCTAGCAGGGCTGAAGATCAAGAGAAAGTTACCATGATGTCACCGCTCCAGTCTCCTCCAGGTATCTTCGGGACTAACTAGGAGATGGTGTAGTTGGGTAGCAGGGAGGGGTGCAAAGTTCCTGCCAATTCACCTTCGCTGCAGACAACTTATTTATTTATTTATTTTATTTATATGCCGCCCAATCCCAAAGGACTCAGGGCAGCGTACAAAATTAAAACAATCATCGAGAATAAGACAATAAAATAATTCAATCATACCGCAAGTCCGATCATGTCCTGCCCCCCCCCCAGGGACATCAGCCCCAGGCCTGCCGGAACAGGAGAGTTTTAACGGCTTTCTTAAAGGCCGGCAGGGTGGGAGTTGTTCGAACCTCGGGGGGAAGTTGATTCCACCAGGTTGGAGCCACCACAGAAAAGGCCCTTCCCCGAGGGCCCCCCAGCCGACATTGTCTGGCCGACGGGACCTGAAGGAGGCCCAATCTATGGGACCTCACCGGTCTCTGGGAACTGTGCGGCAGTATGCGGTCCTGTAAGTAACCTGGCCCTATGCCATGAAGAGCTTTAAAGGTGATAACCAACACCTTGAATTGCGTCTGGAGACCCACAGGAAGCCAGTGCAGCTCGCGGAGGATAGGTGACATGTGGGCATACCTTGGCGCGCCCACAATCGCTCTCGCGGCTGCATTCTGAACCAACTGCAGCCTCCAAACGCTCTTCAAGGGTAGCCCCATGTAGAGCGCATTACAGTAATCCAGTCTTGAGGTGACGAGGGCATGAGTGACTGTGAGTAAAGCCCCTCGGTCCAGATAAGGCCGACATGTAAACTTACATGTGCGAAGTTTGCTGGCCGGGTATTTTGGCGTGCTCAGCAGCAATTCCTATTGGCTTTCGAAAGCCAATAGGGAGAGTAGCACAGCTCATGCAAAAGTTGAAAAAAAAAACATCAAAAAAGGTGCCGGAACGCCGTTCTGAGCGTTCTATGAGAAAAAAAGCCCTGCAGATTAGTCTTCAAATATCGAAAAGGAGGACATGTAGGAGGACACTTTTCGAGGGAGGACAGAACTCACAAAAGGAGGACTGTCCTCCCTAAAGGAGGACGGTTAGTCACCTTAATCTAAAAGTATAAAGAAAGAGATTTTTTGCAAACAAGATAGAAAAAAAACAGCACCCTTTTGTGAGTTATTTAGCCATCCATAAGAGGATCATGAATGAAAATCTTCTAAATAAGGAGAGCTGTGGAATTTGGTAGAACATATCAGAAAATCCAATTATTTAAAGTAGCAGAACAGCAGCTTAGAGAATGAATTTTGTAATATAGATTCATACTAAATAATAATAATTTGTCTAATGAGTCTTATTTGCTAAATCTGTTCTGTGTTAAACACGGTTGCTCTGCCAGATTAAATTGTGTTTACTACCTGGTTTGTGGCAATTAAAACCTTTGGATCTATGATGGAGCCCTCTGTCTCAGTATTTTGTTCTTAGGAAAATGATTGGAGTTGAATGTGTTTTGTGTTTCAGCTTTATATTCTTACAAGGATTTCAGTTGAAAATAAGATACAGATTGCCTTAAACCATAAAGTACCTTCCATTAGAAATTATGAAAATATTTTGCCATATCCCCGTCTACAAATAATACTAAATTGGTGCTTCAAAATTAGCTATTTTATTGATTGATTTATTTTTAATTTATTTATTGATTTTAAAGCTTGAGGTATGAGAGAGTAACTCATCAGAATTGCCCAATTAATTTTATGGCTGATAATGATACCTGACTTTCTCCAGTCCTGAGACAGTTCCCTGTCCACTATATCACTGTAGGGTTCTGGAACTGGAACTAGAAAAAGAAACAAATTATGTAGCCTTGCCTAACTATTGCTATGTTGCTTTTGTAATCAATGTTTGTGTCAGAGTCAAATTTCATGCAAGAGTAGGAAGCCTACACAGATGTGATGTACTGAAGGAGGGAATAAGGGAGTGTACAGGAATGATTGATGTCTTCCTTAGATTGTAAATAATGTGGAATAATAATAATAATAATAATAATAATAATAATAATAATAATAATAATAATAATAATAATAATAATAATAATAATGAACAATCACTAAAATAATGATGTGTCTGCATAATTACTGGAATAATGCTGTGTTAGCAATATGTGACTAACCTAATACTTTTTTGTAAAAAAAAAAAAAGGTGCCGGAACTCACACACGTCATACAACCCGCCTTGCCTATCCTACAAGGTTCCATCCAAAAAAGGTGCCGGAACTCTGTTCTGGGCGTTCTATGAGAAAAAAAGCCCTGGCCCTATTAATAGTTTAATCTAATGAGGTCTTATCAACTATGCATTTTATCAATCATCCTTTTGAGCATTGTGCTTTGGAAACTTGGAGATCAGGAAACAATGAATTTTGGAGCAGGAATAATATAAACTTCTGCATCTGATTGATTCTTAGGGAAAGATTATTAAACCCATTCTGATAGTTATGGCGATAAAGACACTATTTTCTGCTATTTTACATCCTTACAGTAGGTGACTAGTAGAGGCTTTCCAGCTGTTGGATCAGGTTTCTCAAACTCTGGTCTATCTATAGAGGATAACATTCATGATTAGCAAACACAAAATCATTCACCTCTATTTTAACTTAGAAATCTTTTTGCTTTAGTCTGTTTTTAGAGGTTTTTACTTTGGTATTGACTGACAAGTTTTGAATCTTAAGATTTGGTGCTTAGATAAGCACAATTGTAATCTGGGGACATGCTTTTTAATGCTTGTGGTTTGTTACATTGAAAAAGGAGGACTTGTCTAACTGGATTTGGGAAGTAACCAATACTTCTCAGAAAGAAAGTGTCCTAGCTTCTTTATAATAGGCATAGTATAGTTGATTGATTTATATAATAAATTATATGGCTGTTATTCTGTTTCCAAGTAAAAGGCATTGAGACGAGGCAGGAGTAACAAGCAGTCTTGTTTTTATTCAATTCACAACAGAACCGAAACAAAATGGTGCGGATTCCTTTTATACCCCTTTTGCAGGGATAGTGTTAACCAATCAATGCAATGTATTTCTCCTGCCTTGCGCCATGTGCAATAGGCTGGAGACAGCCTGTCTGGTCCCAGGCATCCACATGGTCTGCCCGGGCCTTTGTGCAACCTCCTGCACCTGCTGAATGACTCAGCAGGCCCAGGACATAACAGCTGCCCAGGGCTTTTTTTGTCATAGAACGCCCAGAACGGAGTTCCGGCATCTTTTTTGGGATGGAACCTTGTAGGGTAGGCAAGGCGGGTTGTATGACATGTGTGAATTCCGGCACCTTTTTTTTTTTTAAACAAAAAAAGCACTGTGGCTGCCCATCTAGCATGCATGATACTGGGTGCCTAAAAGTTAAAAACCAAATAAAAACACAGCTAAAACAACCAAAATCAAAACAACAGAAATAACATAAAATAACCTAGCAGCCAAGAACACTCATGATATCCCATACTAAACACAACTATGACCGAAAAATTGGCATAACTACCAGGGTCTCAAC